AAAATAAAGATATTGTGTCCACCTAAAACTAAAAAATAAATACTTAAAAAAATGTATATATTTAAAAATTAAAACAAAAATTAATGTTTACTGAAAAAAATATCTGATCATCTTTATTGTTTCAGTTCAAAAATTATACATTTTAAAGGGCACATATACTAATATGAAATAATGATAACTTCCAATTATTTGACATTCCCATAATGGATTCACTCACACAATCTACATACCTAAATATAATTTTTACAGTAGGTAAAAGTTTGGTGTGAAGGTTAATCCTCAAAGTCCTGGATACAACAGAAAGAGGCTTCAGCTGGAAATCACCAATACTAACTCATTTCCTCAAGCAATTCACCATGTGACTTTGGGCAAGTCCCTTCCTTACTCTAACAACTCATCTCTAAAATTATTCCCTTGTTTTCCCATTCTGTAATTGTGTTCAGAATTGAAATCCAAGATTCTTTTCCCTTTCTTTACTTAGGCAAAGGCTAGGACCAAGTTTTATTTTTTTATGGACCAAGTTTTATTTTTTTATAAGAGAGAGAGAGAGAAATTTTTTTTTTAATATTTATTTTTTAGTTTTTGGCGGACACAACATCTTTGTTTGTATGTGGTGCTGAGGCTCGAACCCGGGCCGCATGCATGCCAGGCGAGCGCGCTACCGCTTGAGCCACATCCCCAACCCTAGGACCAAGTTTTAGATACGATAACCATGACAGGATGTAGTTAGCCTCCAGGACAAAATTTATCGGGTTCACCTTCATTTATCTTTAATCCAAAGAAACTATGAAAGGACTGGGGTGAAGCTCAGTGTACAGCATGGCATGTGAGAGCTTGTAAAAATAAAAAAGAGGGGCTGGGGTTGTGGCTCAGTGGTAGAGTGCTTGCCTAGCATGTGCAAGGCTCTGGGTTCGATCCTCAGCACCACATAAACAGAAATAAATAAAATAAATGTATTGTGTCCAACTGCAACTAAAAAAATTTTTAAAAAGAGAGAAAGTGTGGACTAGAATTTTGGCTCAGTAGTAACTGAGTGCTTGCCTAGCACAGATGAGGCACTGGGTCCGATTCTGTGGCAACCAATAAATAAATAAAGTAAAGGTATTAAATAAAGTAAAGGTATTGTGTCCTACAACTATAATTTTTTTTTTTAAAGTGTGAGAGCGAAAGTGTTAAGCACAGAAGAATAAAAATGAAGATGATACAAGAGTTCATTCATTGAGGGTAACTATACACGTAAGATGACATCTTTAAAGTCCTGAAAAGAAAATAAACTGTCTACCTAGAATTCTATTCTCAGCAAAAATATCTCTGAAAGCCAAAGGGAAAATATTTTCAGACACAAAAACTGAAAGAATTCGGACTGGAGATATACCTCAGTTAGTAGAGTGCTTACCTTGCATGCACAAGGCCCTGGATTTAATCCCCAGCACCACACACACAAAAAAGCAAAGAATTCACTACCAGTGGAAAGGATACCAGTTGGAAAAGTGGCCCTAGACAAAGGAATCAAGAGCACTAGAAATGACAACTATATGAGTAAATATATAACACTTTTTCTTATTATTTAAATCTCTTTTAAAAATAATTGACTGCTTAAAAAAGATAGTAACAGGGGCTGAGGTTGTCACTCTGTGGTAGAGCACTTGCTTGAACGCATGAGGAACTGAGTTTGATCCTTAGCACCACATAAAAACCAAATAAATAAAGATATTGTGTCATTCTACAACTAAAAAAAAATTTCAAAAAAGATAGTAGCAATGTATTATAGGATTTATTATACAGATAAAAGGAAAATTGTTGACAACCATAATACAAAGTTTGGAGAAAAGAAAAGGGAGATTCCTATACTATCCATGAAGTAGTACATTATCACCCACAATAGATCATGATAAACTAAAATGCATACTATAAACCCTAAAGCACCAATAGAATAACAAAAAATTATAGTAATGAAGCCAATAAAGAAGAAAATAATTATAAAAAATATTCAACCAAAAAGAAAATATAAAGAAAAAAAAAAAAAAAAAGAAAACCAGATAGGACAAATAAAAGACAAATAGAAAGGAGAGACTAAACATATCACTAAGTTATGTTATAACTGTACAAAATATAAAGAGTCTAACCCCCTACCCATTAAAAGGCAGAAATTATCAAACTGGACAAAAAAGCAAGACCCACATATATACTGTCTATAAAAATACAAATTTAATATTTAGATGTATTTAAAAAATAGATTCAAATAAAAGGATAGGAAAAGATATAGCAAGGTAATATTAAATTTAAAAAAGCTAATGGGCTTTATTAGTATTAAAACAGATTTCAAAGCATATATTTTCACAGGGAATAAAGTCATTTCATAATGATAAAGGAATCAATTCATCAAAAGAACATAATAGGTCTAGATGCTTATACACTTAATAATAGAGTTTCAAAATGTAGGAAGCAAAAGCTAACAAAAATTGCAAAGAGAGAAACCTACAACTGTAGTCAGAGTCTAAAATAAATCTCTCAAAAATAGAACAAGAGGAAATCAGTTAAGAATACAGAAACCTTGAACTACACTAACTTGACTTAACTGACAGAATACTCCATCCAACAACAAAATACACCTTTTTCAAGTACACACATAATTTACCGAGACTATAATCTGAGACATAAAAATAAGACTAAATAAATTTAACAGGATTTGAGTCATAAAAGCATGTTGCTTGGCCACAACAGAATTAAATTAAATTTCAATAATAAAAAGATCCCTAGAAAACCTTTACATTTGGTAAAAACCACAAAGTCAAAGAAATTAAAAAGGGAAATAATACAGTCTTTTGAACAGAATAAAAATGAGAATGTAACATTCCAGAATTTGCTGGATGCTGTCAGAGCAGTATTTAGGGGTAAATTTATAACACTATAACCTATATTAGAAAGAAGAAAGGTCTCAGTAAACGTAGCTTCCACTTTAAGAAAAAAAGACATCTAAAATATAATGTAAACAGAAGTACTAAAGATCAAAATCATAAATCACTACAATAGAAAATGTAACAGAAAAATCAATGAAACTAAAAGTTGGGTCTTTCAAATCAATAACATAAACCTCTAGTTAAACTGATCACAATAAAGAGAACATAGAGCTAGGGATATAGCTCAGTGGTAGAGCTCTTACCTAGCATGCACCAGACCCCAGTGGTACCACAAAACAAACAACAACAACACACACACACAAAAAAAAAAAAAAAAAAAAAGAAAGAAAGAAAGAAAAAGGAAAAACTAAAACAAGAAAAAAATTACCAATATCAGGAATCAGAGAGGTGATATCACCATAGATTCTACAGACCCTAAAATAATAATGAGGGAATATTATATACGAAACTACATATATGTATGTTTATAAGTACATATAAATCCATTTGATATTTTCTGCCTTTTAATTTATTTTAATTAACTAATTATTAATGTACTTATAACATTTAAACTTATACAGGCCAATAAATTCAAGAACTCAAATGTAATGGTTATATTTCTTAAAATACAATCTATTAAAGCCCATAGAAAAAGAAATAGATAACCTGAATCACCCTGTATCTATCTGATTTAAAAAAAATGAAGTTAAAACCTTTTCGGGGCTGGGGTTGTAGCTCAGTGGAAAAGCACTTGCCTAGCCTGCGTGAGGCACTGGGTTCGAGTCTCAGCACCACATAAAAATAAACAAATAAAATAAAGGCATTCTGTCCATCTACAACGACAAAAAATTAGTAAATAAAATTTAAAAAAACAAAAAAGATAAATAAAGGCATGTTATCTGTCTATAACTACAAAATAAAAATAAAAATCTTTTCATAAAAAGTAACAAGGGCTAGGGTTGTAGCTCAGAAGTACAGCACTTGCATGTGAGGCACTGGGTTCGATCCTCAGCACCACATAAAAATAAATAAAAAATAAAGGTATTATGCCCATCTATTTAAAAAATATATATATATATATATAATATAGCAAGCAAACAAAATACATTGGGCATCTTTGGTGAATTCTACTAAACATTAAAAAAAAAAAATTTTTTTTAGTTGTCAGTGGACCTGTATTTTATTTATTTATATGTGGTGCTGAGAATTGAACTCAGTGCCTCACACATGCTAGGCAAGTGTTCTATTACTGAGCTACAACCCCAGCCCACCTACTAAATATTTAAGGAAGAAGTAATGCTAATTCTATACAAACTCTTAGAAAATTTAAGAAGGAACACTTTCCAACCAATTCTGGGATCAGAGTTATTCTGATACCAAAGTCAGTCAGCCATGATTTAATAAACAAAAAACTATTGACTAATTTCTCTCAGAGATATGCAAAAATTCTAAACAAAATCAAATCAAATCAAGTAGACTTAGAAAAACAAATCCAACAATATGTAAAAAGAATAATACATCATAATGACACAGACTTATCCCAGAAATCCCAGGTTGGTATAGCATTTAAAAAAAAAAAAAAAAAATCAATCAATATCATTCACTATATTAATCAAACAAAAACAAAACAAAACCCCCCACGATTATAATTATCAATAGAAACAGAAAAAGCATGACAAAATTGCTGAGGCTGGCTTTGAACTCCCGATCCTCCTGCCTCAGATTCCATAGCCTCTTACAGGTGTGCACCACCATGCCTGGCTCACACTTTTTAAAAACATTAATATGCCCTAATCTTAAGAAAACACATTTCTCATTAATATTACAGATATCCTATAGTACCCTCTATTGTTATAACATCCTAGACAGTTGTTATTTTTTAGCCTACTCTAAGTGAATTTTACAGAGAATGTCTGTTACATTATCTTTTTCTTCATAGATCATTTCTTCAGTATTGAAAATAAGGCAGAATAACCTTGTTCCCAGATCCCCCAAATCATTGTGATTTTATTAAGACTAACAAACTGAATCCATAAAATAGAATCCTGGATCAATAAAGAGTTATTCTGTTGAGAGTACAAACTATAAAGAGCATTTTACCTTCATTATAGGGCACTGGATTACCAATTTTCATTCCAACTGTTTCAGCTGATTTCAAAACTTCTAAGTCCATCAAAATAACTACTCTCCTACAAGGGCAAAATAGAAACAAGATAGAATAAATCCAGAAGCATTCTAAATGACAAACTATTTAAAAAGCTTATCCTCAATAATCATTTTGATAAAAACTATTCTCCCTTTGTCAACTGTTTTTCATTGTTGAATAACTTGAGAAATATATGATATCAATTCCTACACAAATATTTCCTTTAATCTTTCACTGAATCATTATCAAGCCTTTTAATGATTGCAGGGTATTCACTTCCCATGTAGTCCTTTAATTAAAATGCTGAGTTCTTGCTACACACCATATCTTCAAGGAGCCACTGACATGATAAGAATTTAGATTATTAAACATGAGAGTATGTGGCACCAAAAGATTATGAATTCTCAGAAACATACTTATCTAAATAATTACAAAACCAATTATGACAGCAGGTATTATAAAAAATGTAATTATTACCTATCTTTAAGAACTTACAGGCCTTTGACACATCTTTACCTCAGATTAAAATTTTTCAATAACTTTCTCAAAACCTTAGACCCCAAAAACCACTTTGATGAGTAAGATAAGTAAATAAAATAAAAACCTTTGACATGTTTTACAAGGCTTTATGTGGTCTGGCCTTTCTAACCTCTCTGGTTCAACTCACCCCTCCTGAGTTCTCTGCCCTCTAAGCCAACATCTTTCTATTCCTGCCATATGCCACAAGGCCTACCTCTGTACCTGCCCTCTGTGGCTTTTTACCCCCACTGATTCTGCTTCATCGAATACTTTTTTTTTTTTAATTCTTTTTTAAAGTATTTATTTTTTAGTTGGACACAATATCTTTATTTATTTATTTTCGTGTGGTGCTGCGGATTGAACCTAGGGCCTGGCACATGCTAGGCAAGCGCTCTACGGCTAAGCCACAACCCTAGCCCTCTAATACTTTTAACCTCTCATCTCAAACATTATTACATCAAGAAATAATTCTCCAGTCTCTCATTTAAATCAGGTCTCCTTGTTCTACTCTTTGCTATAGCTATGATTTATTTTTTTTCAGAACACTCCTGTTAGTTTAATTACATATTTATTAGTAATTATTTTATTATATATCTCTCCTGGACAGGATCTCAATAAGTTCCCCAAGACCTTAAACTTGATATCCTCCTAAGTAGCTGGGATGACAGATGTGTACCAATGCACATGGCTAAGAATTCTTTAGAAAGTATTTACAAAAATATTTCTGAATAATATAATGTCTGATATTTACTTCAAATTTTTAGAGGAAAGAGGATGTGGAAAGGAGTACACAAAGCAAGATTGGATATCAGGTAAAATACGAAGCTGAAAAATGGGCTCTAATGGGAACTCACGATACCACTGTATGGTCTTTTTTTTTGGTACTGGGATTGAACCCAAGGGCACAGTACCACTGAGATACATCCCAAGTCATTCCTTTAAAAATTTTTCTTTTTTTTTTTTATTTGTAGGTGGATGCAAAACTTCATTTTATTTATTTATTTTTGGGTGGTGCTGAGGATCAAATCCAGTGCCTCAGTGCTAGGCAAGCACTTTACCACAGAGCCACAACCCCAGCCCACCCAGGTCCTTTTTTATTTTTTATTTTTGAGACAGGGTCTGGCTAAGTTGCTGAGGCTGGCCTTGAACTTGCAATTCTCCTACCTCAACGTCCTGAGTCACTGGAGTTACAAGTGTGAACCACCATACCTGGCTCTACTGTTTTAGACATTTAAAATTATTTAGAATAAAAACAGATTAAAAAAAGAGAGAGAGAGAAAGGAAGCTAAGAGGATTACTTTCTAAGGCAGAATTTACTTTCTAGGAATGAAAGAACAGTTCATTATTAGATAATCTATTAAAATAATTCATAATGCTAAAAGATTAAAAATATGATTGTATCAAAATACAGTAAAAGCTTTCTTAAAAATTCAAGAGCCATTGCTAACAAAACCCTGAATAACAGAAGGACCTAAAAAATACCCTGAACATGATAAAGTGCATGCATTTATGTGATAAACACTATGGTAAGCACTAAGCATTTCCATCAAAATCAGTATACAAATATGGTACCCACTACCACCATTACTATCTAACTTTGATAGTGCCAGCTAATTCAATAAGATTAAAAATAAACAAAATGAATGACATAAATATCGAATAAGGAGATAATACAACTGTGTATCTAAAAAATCCAAGAGCCTTTAAATGGATACACACCATATTCTTACATAAAAAGGCCTCCTAACATCAAATATCACATAAATGTAACACAATTATTTGTATTCCAACACAATATTTGCTTGTTTTTTCAAACTCGATAACAGAACTCTAAAATTCATATGGAAGAATAAAGATGAGGACTGCTAAGAAAACATCTGATATTTACTTCAAATTTTTGTAAACTGAAGTAAAAAAAGGAATATATTGTCAAAAGATACTACAATACTCTACAGAATCTGATATTTTAGCTGAAACTCTATATCACATAATTACAAGGTTGGCTAGGATATGTGGAAACTTCCACACTCATATGCTGCTGGTGAGAAGGTATATCAGTAAAGCTGCTTTGAAAAATAGTTCAGTAAGTTAATATCTGATCCAATTTTCATTCTAGATACGGTTGGACCTCAGAATCTATAGCAACTAGTTCCAGGATACCACTTAACACAATCTAGTAATGTCTTTATCATCTATATTTTTCGGATAAGAAAACTAACATACTGAATTAAGTTTCTTTCATAAAGTTATACTTCTAGTAAGAGGTAGGGTCAGTATGTAAAATGCAGGTTTGTTCAGTCTTTGAAGTCTGTGCTCTTAAATGTCTCATATTTCTGTAAGAAATTAAAATTATTTAGAATAAAAACAGATTAAAAAAAGAGAAAGAAAGGTAAGAGGATTATTTTTTAGGCAGAATTTACTTTCTAGGAATAAAAGAACAGTTCACTATTAGATAATCTATTAAAATAATTCATAATGCTAAAAGATTAAAAGATTTTTTCCCTTAAAATAGAAATATTTAAGAACCAGGCATCTGACACACTCCTGGAATCCCAGCTAGTTGGGAGGCTAAGGCAGGAAGATTGCAAGTTCCAGGCCAGCTTCAGAACTTAGTGAGACCCTTAGCAACTTAGGGAGACTGTCTCAAAATAAAAAATAAAAAGGGCTAGGAATGTGGTAGAACACCCTAGGGTTCAAAACACAGTACCACTACCAAAAAAAAAAAAAAAAAAGGTAGTAAAATAAAGCAGATCCCATGGGAGTGGAACTGATTCCTGACTGGAGAGAACAGGCATTGAAGAGTTTCCCAGGAAGGACGGTACTCAATTCCAGCAAGGTCCTCTACCCTTTCCCATAATCATGTCCTAAAGGACAGAAAATGGATGGAAAGCACAGCTTAAGACACACAAAGGTGGCCTGGAGTGAAAGATAACAGGTCTCAAGCGACAAGATTGGCAAGAAGGCACACCTAGCATAGTTAGAGCAAACAGCAAGTCTGGACAGAAGTGTCCACATGAAGCACAAACAAGACAAAAGGAGACAACACAGCAATACTGCAAGACAATAATGCATAAAAATGAAAGGAACAAGGGAAGCGAAAAGACAATGAAAGAAGAACCCAGCCTGGCAGAAAGCAGAAGCCAAGAAAGGAAATGGATACTTCCCAAAAGTGATTCACAAAATAAATAAGACTGAATTAAAAAAAAAATTTATATATATATACATACATACATGCGCCAAAAGATTAGGTGAAACAAGACACAGAACAGGGACCTTTTTAAAAAGCTAAGAAATTATTACACATCTAATACTTAAAACATAAACATCAAAGAAGAGAAGAGAGCTAAAAACTATTATGTTGAGAAACACTGATGTAATCCAACACATATTAGAAAAAGAATTGAAGCACACTAAAGACTTATATGGAGAACAAAGTTACCCAGGAATTCAATAAATTACACAGAAAACAGCATAAGGGAATAACACAGAAAAAAACTTCAAAATAGAAGAACTGAATCTGCAGACTGAAAGAGCATCCCGTATGCCGGCAGTGGGTGGGGACCGATAAATCAGAAAACTGACATTGAAACATAACCAGGTAAGTAACTGAACATAAAGTATAAAAATAAATAAACAAAATAAAAGTATTGTGTCCTTCTGCAACTAAAAAAATATTAAAAAAAGAAAAGAAAAAAGGCAGAAATTGCCAAGCACGGTAGCGGACATCTATATTCCCAGCAGTTTGGGAGGCTGAGCAGGAGGATCTCAGTGGTTTGGGAGGCTGAGGGAGGAGGATCTCGAGTTCAAAGCCAGCCTCAGCAACACTGAGGTGCCAAGCAACTCAGTGAGACCCTGTCTCTAAAATAAAATACAAAATAGGGTTAGGGATGTGCCTCAATGGTTGAGTGCCCCAGAGTTCAATCCCTGTACCTACTCCCCTCCAAAAAACAGCATAAATGCAGAAATCAGAATAGGCTGGTCTTGACTTCTATGGATCAACATTAAAATTCTGAGGGTAAAACTACAGTGGAACTCCAAAACAGATACCCAGCCAGGTTGTCATTCTAGAATAAAGGCAAATAGATTGGTATCAGGGAACAGGAGTATCCCAGGAAAAAAAAGTTTCTGAATTAAATCAAACTAGTCAAGAGAATCAAAATTAAGGAGATAAAGAGAAGGAAGGCTGGCAAAAATACAAATGTCCTTAAGTTAATTTAACAGATTTTAAAACCACTTTAATCCTTTATATTTATTTATACATTTTGTCTTATTTAAATCTTTGTTAGGTGGGAGAGCAGGAAAGTTCTACCACTGAGCTACATCCCCAGCCCTTTTATTTTGAGACAGGCTCTTGCTAAATGGTAAAGGCTGGCCTTGAACTTGAGATCATTCTGTCTCAGCATCAGGATTCACTGAAATGACAAGCATGTGCCACCAAGCCTGACTTCTTTAAATCTTCCCAGAAATTCACAGAAGTTTCTTTCTTCTGGTAAAGAAAAATTTGTCTGATTAAACCAGTTCCTT